CTTCTTTGCTTTCGAACCGGTGCGACCGTTCATAGCTCCTTCGTTTTTTTGTCGTTTTTTTTTTCCTTCTTCAATATTTCCTCTCATGCCCCCCACCCTTGCACGGACTCACACTGCCTTTCAGGATGTGCATCGCAGGCAGGCTGTCCTCCAAAGCTGTCACAGGGAAGACGGGTCGTTGTCACGACCCCCCCGAGCCTCACGAGGGCTATTGGGTCCCCTTGGGCCCCGGCTCGCCATCACACCCACTAGCAGCTGAAGGACAGCGTTGCCTTCTGTCATGGCACTGGCCACTGCCCCGATTTGCGTGGCCATGTCACCGAGCCTCCCTGCCACCATTGTTGCCCCCGCTGTCTGTGCTTCTGCTATCGTCGCTGCCGCCCTGTCCAACCCGTCCACGTACACCCGCGTTGATTCTGCAAGTGCCACACTCATCCCTGACATGGACGAAGGCCCATCCCCATCGTTCACCCTCCCACTGGACGTGCGTCTCGTCTTACCGGCGCTGGCTTTGCCATCAGACCGCTCCCGGTCCGAACCTCCTCTGTCACTTGATCCTTTCGCCGAACTGTCCCCGTCCTTCGCATTGAGAGAGTCCGAGTTCAGCGTGTTGTCACAAGTCCCCGACGGCTTTTGCAGAATCCAGTCCATCTCCGCCCACAACCTCCGATCACAGTTGGCGTACAGCCCCTCCGCCTTCCTCTCTTCTACTGTCATGTCGAAGTATCCTGGCTTCCCAGACTGACCCACCTTGTCTGCGAGCACCTTCAACTTCTGCCCCAAGGCAAACCACTTCTTCCGGCAGTCTTTCGCAGATCGATTCCACCCTTCATCCCTCATCCGACGAGCGATCCACTCCCGTCTCCTATGCTTCTTCAGCTTGTGCACACTCGACGCGTCCGCCATAAGAGCATCGTCTTCGCGCTGGATCCTAGCAAGAGCCAAGCACTCTTCTAGCGACCATTGAACTTTTTTTTGCGCGGGAGGAGCTTGCGCACTTGCCCTGCCACGAACGCCTCTTGCATTCATGCCCTGCATGACAGTGCTTCCATCCGCTCAGCCTCCGGCGTGTGATGACGTGGACGTTGCGGCTGGAGGACGGCCACGTCTGCGGCCAATCGGCCCTGTGCCTGCCCCGGCTCCCGTGGCGGGGGCAAATGGAGATGGTTGTTGGAGCACCGCTGTGGCAGGCACATCGCCAGCATTTGCCCGCTGCCCGTGTGTGGGCGTTGCATGGCCACTCCTCTCCGCCGCTGGTCGAGAAGGATTGGAAATGTCAACAGTCGGCACATGTCCCCCGCCGCATTGTTCATAGTGTCCAAATTCGTGACCTGCGTCACCACACCTCCCCATTGCAGCGTTGTCGTGCTCCCGCTCATGATCTGCTCGGCGATCACCGGTCACCCCAAACCCCACCCCGCTCCCGTCGACACCGCACTCCACGTCGTCGTCTTCCCCCAGCAACGTTGCTGTGAATCCCGGAGGAGGCACCGACCTAGCTGTGAAACCGCTGAAAGGAGAGGACGTTGCGCGAGGTTGAGGGGACCCCAGCATCTGCTGTCCGTCGTAAGCAAGGGCCATCGTCAACTGCTGGAAAGGCAGCTGGCTCGCGCACCGCATTTCACGCAGGCCTGGTGGATCATTTCGCCACTGCGGCAGCGAGGCTACTTGGGAAGGAAACGAAGGGGGAACTCCATACCTGTCCGCATCCTGGCTTAACATGGACAAGTGTGCTGGTGGAGGGGCAGGTTGTTAGACCGGTTTTGATGCTCTATCTCGCCATACTGCTCTTGAAAGGCTGCCTCCTGCGACCAACGCCGCCTGTCCATGTCACGTACTTGCCCCCCTCCTCCGGAAAGCTCCAATCTTTGGGTGGATTTTCCGGTGTTCTCACTTCGCGGCAGACCTTGGGTGGACGATAACCCACAGCACCACCGCTATCAGCAACGACACGACAATGAAGAGAACGGCGATGTCCACAACAACCAAAAGAAGAAGAAGGGTGATCGCCAATGGCCAAAGGAGACTGCAGTCCGTGCACCGACCCTGTCCCACGTCCTTCCCCCTACAGCTCGACGACGAACGGCCCTCCCCGCAATGGACGAAACTGTCCTGTGTCCCCTCCCTGCCCGCGAGCCGTTGTGGACGTCGCACTGTCCCACACTCTCCCACAAGCCCCCCAGGATGTGTAGGTGACGTCTGGCGTGAACGAAGAACGGCTTGGTAAGGAACTAGAGGATAGGAGAATGGATGATTGGAGCGGCAGATGCCTGACAACAATCGAGCGCCCGTCCAAGCCGATCTCCTCAGCACAGGGTGTAGACAACACACACGAGCAATCTTTCCCGCGTCCCCTTCTGCACGGTTTGCAAGGTGTGCTTTCCACGAAGGCGATCCACAAACGGATTGGCCACATGCCGCAATCCAATGCCTTGTAGCAAGACCGACGCCGATCACCGTCAATGCCCTGCCTACAACCCCGGTCGGCTGGAGTCGATGCACACCTCGTGCCAGAGTGCGGGCGATGGATGGCGTGCGCTGCATTGCTGTCCTGGCTATGGCGTCGGCGTCGATGATAATGGCCGGCGTTCCGTCGACATGCATGCCTCATGCAGACGAGGGGCTCATGGACAGAGTGCGTGTTCGTTTCGGCACCCTGCATTTCGTTCGTACATTTTTCGCGTTTTTGTTTTTCACCTCCCAGCCTTTTCAAATTTCAAAATGTCCACCGCGCGCCGAAAATTCAAAAACGTGCGCGGGCCGTCGAGAGACACCATGGGGTAGTCTGGGACCACTCCATTTGCTGTGTGACAGTGGGTGCATGTCCGCCCTCTGGCCAGGACCACTCCACCGGACATTTCACAGGTACGGCCACCTCCATGCACGCACCTCTCCGTCGCCTCTCCGTTGGCTACGGAAGGGGTGCCCCACCCCCTACCCTTCCGTAGCCGACGGAATTCTTGGTTGGCAGGGGGTACGAACGGGCCGCGGGGGGAGTGGAAACACTTCCGCTCGATTTCCAGAAACCACCATGCACGTCTGTGGGATTCCGTGGACCACATTTTGGAATCCCAAAATGTTACCGCGCCGCTGTGGGGTCCATCCCTAAGTATTGTAAACAGAGAAGGATCGCTAATCAAGCTCTCAATTCTCGACTCACCCACTCATCCCAAGCCAATCACCAACCTCGACCACACACCCAATGACAAACCAAGTCGTCCTGGCAGCTCTCTTACCGTCGCCGGGGTAGAGGCCATGCAAGAGGGCTT